AGCGGCGTAATATTAGTACCTTTTATAATAGATACAATTTCGCGTTTTGACAAAAGATATAATGTTAAGATTTTCAAAATTATTCACGCTTGTGCAATGCAGTTTAGCTTGACAAGATTAAAAAGAAAATGTCACCTTGCCAGGATGTTTCTGTATTATACCATACAACTAAAGTAAATGCTGAAATCTGCGATATTTGTTGGCATGTGTGTGTGTGTTGTCTCTGTTAAAATGCATATATTATTTATTCCAATATTCAAAAGAAACCATTTTACTGAAATGTACGATTTAGCGTGGAATGTTTTTTGCTCTACCAATTGCGCAAAGCTTATGATTTTGATACCCCTGAGGGTGGGGAGGACTCAATGAATTGTATAATATTAAAATGGGTCACTGTAGAAATTATAGATTGTCCATGTTTAATCACATGTGCCCTTTGTTTCCGGCATTACTATAAGTAATACTTGTTTCTCTCTGTCTTCCGATGGGTCAGCGGTAAGTTTATGAACTTACAACGATTCGATTCTCTGCGCAAAAAATACAGAATACTGTTTTTTATCTGTATGTTAAATACCATATAGTGACGACATCTATTAGAGACAGTTAATACCATACTTTTACAAGATTTTAACAATTAATTAGTACCGTGTACATTAATTAAAGAGCTAATTACATTTGATATTTGGTAAAAGATTAATTGTAGAACATATTTCATTGACTTGTGGACTTATGTGGACTTTTGAAGATTAATCGGTCGGGTATTATAAAATCTATCAAGATTACTCGTACTATTTATCAATGTTTCAGTGACTGTACACTTATCTATCATCACAACAATTGGAAGAATGTTATTACTAAATGCACGATTTGAGTCATAAGTATTTGGTTTGGTTTTGAAATTCGCACACAGCAAAGCTACACGAGGGCTATCTGCGCTAGTCGTTCCAAATTTAGCACTGATAGACTAGGGGGAAGGCAGCTGGTCAACACCACCCCTCCAACTCTTGGGCTACTCTTTTACCAACGAATAGTGGGATTTACTGTCACATTACAACGCCTCACGACTGAAAGGGAAGCATGTTCGATGAACAGGATTCGAACCAGCGACCCGCAGATTGCGAATCAAACGCCCTAACCACCAAATTGTCCCTGGCCTTGAATCACAAAGAATAAAGAAAGCAGTTGTTCTACACAGCACTGACACGTGTGGCGTGAAGTACGTTCACCGAAACATTGGTAGATAAATAGAAATAAGGAAATTACTACATATACAGTTGACATTAATATAAATTCTTTCTCCGAAAGGGGACCTAAGGCCACCAGTCTTAACCACTCCCACCACTTAGGAATAGTGTGTTGTGTGTCAGTCAGTCAGTAGACACTAAAATGACGTCACATAAGGGACGCTTAACGTTGCAATATAT